GAAAGAAGAAATTGCATTTTGATTGATATCTTAAGAGATCATCATTTGTGATGTTTATTAAAATATGACTAAGTTATTTTGTTTACTTTCAGGTATTCACAAAGAATGTTGACAAGGATTCTGTAATCTTGCTAGCCGCGAGAGCTTCTAGGGTTGAAAACCAGGACGCCATTGATGGTTGTATTGTTGGAATGCTAAGTGACCCTAAAGAGGTATAACGTGGTTAATTTGTGAATTCTTTTATGTTTTGTTTTTTCTTCATATTAAGACCTACGCAGCTTGGGTTAGGGTGAAGGGATAATATAATATCTATTTGGAATTGGCTAGAACCATATGTCACCTAGGTTTTAAGGGTGCCTTTTCTTTGTCCCTTAAGAGCTGGTTTACTAGTTATGCAGACAGCTAGGTTCTTTCTTCTGTCTCTGATCAAATAGTTAAACGAGTTTCCTTCTTTGTTTTTTTGGCACTTTCTGCTTTATTTTTTAACAGAAGGTTTCCCAGAAAAAAAAATAAAGAATTTGTGTGTTTAATTCTTTCAAGTGTATGGTTTTATTGTTTGTAAACTAGCCAGAGTAAGAATCTTGAAATTCGACTATTTTCCGAAGTAAGCTGGGAAACAGTTTAGGTTGCCACCTAAATTATATTTTCATTTATTTTTTAGCTCCAAAGATGGCATTTGCATTTCGTGCTGCATGATGTGCAGTAGAAAAATTCAAACTTGCCAATACGTTTTGAATGTGTTCGTCAGTGAGTGTATCTGTGTACTAATTTTGGTTTCTTAAGTGTCTGTGCCACTACTTCTACCGTCAAGCATTTTATTCGTATTGGCCTCGGTATTAAATTAACTCTGGTCAAAGTTTTACCTTGTTTCCTCTGCAGGCCAGAGCAGGTATCACAGAGGTGCACTTTTTCCCTTTCAATCCAGTGGACAAGCGTACAGCAATCACATATATTGACTCCGATGGCAGTTGGCATCGAGTCAGCAAAGGCGCACCAGAACAGGTTCTAGATAATACAAGATATTAATTCCATATATATAGATATATTTCCCCTTTCTTTCTCTGTAGTTTTGTTTTTGTTTTTTGGTTAATTTATACCTGAGATCTCTACCAGATTATTGAACTTTGCAACCTTGGGGAAGATGCCAAGAAGAAAGCTCACACCATTATCGATAAATTTGCTGATCGAGGACTTCGGGCTCTTGCTGTTGGCAGACAAGTGTGTTTGTATCATATAACTCCTGAAGTCTGATATTTAGTTGGTACATTATGACACTTTATCAAAATGATTAAAGTGGAACATTTACTACTGCAGACAGTGCCAGAAAAAAGCAAGGACAGCCCGGGAGGACCATGGCAATTTGTGGGTATCCTACCTCTCTTTGATCCTCCAAGGCATGATAGTGCTGAGACAATCCGACGTGCCCTTGATCTTGGTGTCAATGTTAAGATGATCACTGGTGATCAGCTAGCCATCGGTAAGGAGACTGGTCGCAGGCTTGGTATGGGAACCAATATGTACCCTTCATCGGTACTCCTTGGACAAACAAAAGATGACAATGTCGATGCTCTAAATGTTGATGAACTTATTGAGAAGGCTGACGGATTTGCTGGCGTCTTCCCTGGTAATTCGACCAAAACAGCTTTTCCTGATGATTATCATCTTACTGTATTTAGATAAAAGAAGAAGACTTTATTAGGAATGAAGTATTATAAAAATTTTGGTTTCAAAACAGAAATTTAAGTTCTGAAATTAAATAACTTTTATAAAAGAACTGCACATTTTTCCTCCATGATGCTAACTGATGGCATTCAGAGCACAAATATGAGATCGTGAAGAGGCTTCAAGATAGGAAGCATATCTGTGGCATGACTGGAGACGGAGTAAATGATGCACCAGCTCTCAAAAAAGCAGACATTGGAATTGCAGTTGCTGATGCAACAGATGCGGCTAGAAGTGCATCGGATATAGTCCTTACAGAACCAGGACTGAGTGTCATCGTGAGTGCTGTTTTAACAAGCAGAGCAATATTCCAGAGAATGAAGAACTACACAATTTATGCAGTTTCAATAACAATTCG